GCCCCTCCTCCCACTCTCAGTGCTGCTTCGGCTCCCTGGCTGTGGGGCTTCTGTGCAGCCGGATCCCAGGAGGCTGAGTGACGGTGGTTCTGGGTTTTAGTTGTGATTTTGATGTGGCTGCGGGAGGCGGCGGGCGCAGCTGTTACCGCCGCCGCCATCTTGTTTCCTCTCCAAGGACACTTGCGATGCACTTTCTTAGCAAATCTCAAGCATGAAAACACAGCATTGTTCACCCAGGTTGTCACAGTGGCAGGAGTTCTTTCCTTTTAAAGGCTGAATAGTGTTCATGTATATACATATATTTACCTGGCATTTAAAAAGTCCATTGGTCTGTTAGTTTGGCTGTTGCGAATGATGTTTCAATGAACACAGGCGTGCAGACATCCTTTTGAAATTCTGATTTCGTTTCCTCTGGATACATACCCAGAAGTGGGATTGTTGAGTCAGAAGGTAGTTCTGTTTTAAATTTTTTGAGGAACCTCTATGTTGCTTTCTGTAATGACTATACCGATTTACGTTTCCACCAACATGGTGCAGGGACCTGGCTGCAGCTCCGCTGCAACCTCCTGAGGGGCTGGGCAGAGCTGCTCAGCTCAGCTGCTCTGGGATTCCTGGCCTGCAAAATCGTGACATAATGAATGTTTTTGGCTTTAAGCTGCTAACTTTTAGGGTGATTTTTATGCAACAATAGGTAACTAAAACAGACCCCACTGGGCGGGTGAAGGCAGGAACTAGTAGGCAGGAAAGAAGACAGAATTCTCTGCCTCTGGCTGCTCTGCCCACTGACTTTCCACAGAGAGAAATGTGGCTGCCTCATGGCTCCTGAGTTCACGTTATATTCCAGTGACATGGAAACCTTAATTCCAGTGTTCTGAGTGACAGAATGTGGGGTCCAACTTGGGTCAGCTGTGGCCAGGGGATAGCATTAGGGACAAATTCAAGTTATGCAGGACTTGACGATTGTATCATTTTGGGAAGAAAGTTCATTAAGAAAAGGACTACAAGATTACACACAAAAAATGATGACTTGGAATGAATGAGAAAATAAATCGCAACAAATGAAAAATGATCTAAAGCTGATGGAAACATTATGGAATTTTAAAAATTGCAAGATACTTGTATTAGTTAACTCTGATGGTTGGAGATGGTTTCCATAGGCTGTTTTCTGGCTCTCTGCATCTCAAACCCACGTGCACCTGAGTGCTGTGGGCCACGTGAGTGCCGTGGTCTGAATTCTGGCTCTGCCCTTTCGTGATTAATGCTGGGTAAGTCGGTAAAGTGCTCCTGGAAGCCATTCTCCACTGGGATGACTACCAATAACATAACTAAACTCAAAAATAATTACAAATCATAGACATATATGCAGTAAACCCACAAGGAGAAGCTATAAATCTCCATCAAGGACCCCAATCCTAGGTCTGGTGCCTTAACTAGGAATTTGTCCACAAGACATGGGACTTCATCAATCCAAGGGAGTTACTCAGCTCAACTGAACATGACACCTGTCTACCAGGAAAAAGAACTGGGTGACATGTTAGCAACCTGATAATGGTCACAGGGCCACCTGGATCTTCAGGCTTGGTTAGGCCAGCAGTGAGCAAACAGCTCCAGGGCAGGAGTGGGGCATTCGAGGCTGCAGGCACATGCCCGACTCCTGGAAGGAAGTCTAAGTATGGGGAGAAGGGTTAGGCTCATTTGCACTCTGAGGATTTATAACTTTCTTCCTGATAAGGGGTGTGGAGTAAAATAGATGAGGTCTCAGTGTCTGAAAAGGACCAGAGAGACAACCTGCAGGCTGCTGTGTTTATCTGCCCAAGAGGGTGTCACAGTTTTGGATGGGACAGGGGCCACTTGAAATGGGAATCTTGTTCTCTGAATTACAAACATCTTCTTGAACAGATTGTCTTGCTGAGTAGCTAAGTTTTGGCCTCCAGAAGCTCCTGGTGCTGGGATGGGGGCAGGAGTGAATCTCTAAGAAAAGCTTAGTCCTGCCCTGTCCAATGGTAGCCACTAGCCAAGTGTGGCTGGTCCAAAATGAGATACATTGTGAGTGGAAGATACACTTCTGATGTTAACAACTTAGTATAAAAAAAAGGAATGTAAAATATCTCATGAGTAGTTTTTAAATATTGATTACACCTTGAAATGAATTATATTTTTGATATAAGGGTTCAATAAAATATATTATTGAAATTAACTTCACCTGTTTTTAAAAATTTTTAAACATGTAATTATTAGAACACTTAAATTACATATGCTGCCTCTATTTGTGGCTTGCATTATGTTTCGGTTGGGCAGTGCTGTCCCAGGCGATCAGGACTTCCGGTCACCATACGCTGGTCGCTGGTCATGCATGTATACACACACCCAGTTGACCACCAAAATTGTGTCCAACCACGCAAATGCTCCCTGGGGTGCAAAATCGCCCCTGGTTGGGAACCATAGTAATTAAATACTGTCAACAGTGCCTGCGTGAAAAAGTCTCATTTGGTAAAAACTTTAGAGTGGTGCTAATCAGTGCTGCTATGCTCCAAAAGACAGAATTCAAAGTGGAGCTGTGCCATGTACTTAATTGCACCTAAAAGCACTTGTCTTCTCAAAAAAAAAAAAAAAAAA